AAGACTGAATAGGCTGAGAGAACTACACTGGGAAGAAGGACGTTCCCTGATGGCCGGGTAAAGCCTAAATGAGAAGGTGCAAGCTGCTGCCTTGACTTGCCTTATCAGTGACCAGTGCATAGGGCTCAGCCTCTAGAATGTCAGCACATGCACTTTACTAAACACTCTGAGTAGCTCCACATAAAGCAAATACTCTGTTTGAAAGTAGTTAAGCCAGGATAAAAAGATAAAGAAACCTAAAGCAGTCCAGGGTGCGCTTTGTTTGGTAAACTGAATTGTATACTAATTGTAAGAGGACATATGAACTATGATTTGCTAGAGTAACTCATTCAGTCATTTAAATGATACGGGCACATGCCTTCACAGAACTAATAGGACAATTATAATAAAGCTAAAATTTTTAGTACTCTGTAGCCTCTGTAATTAGTGGAGATAGGAATGAAAATGCTGCTTTAATTCATAGGTAGCAACATACTGACTGGCTCTTGCCAAATTTTTTCCATTTCTATTCATTTGGACTGTATTCCTCCTGATGTTGTGATGCCACCTCCTCTGTCACTCCTTCCTTTCTGTTCTCTTTCAACTGCGTTCTACCCTTTCTTTATCCTCCTCAACCTTCAGTCCTCCTTGGGCAACTCCACTACAGGCTCTTTGCAGTTCACCACACTTATGCTAATGACTCTCAGCTTTAATCCCTCTCTTCTAACTACGTTCTGAACATTTTCATCTGAATATGCTGTTGACCCCTTGAATTCAGCAGGTCTGATCTGAACTCATTTTATTTCTCAAACCTTTGTTGTTTTTTTCTAAGTCTTGTATCTCTTGGTTAATGATGTGCAAGCTACCCAGTAGCCTAAGCCAGTCATGCCCTCATCCTTTTTCAGTCTCAACTCATCATAGCTGATTATAATCAAGTTGTATAATTTCTGCCTTGCTATTTCAAATTTGTTTTCTCCTCTCTACTACCATTGCCATCAGCTCAAGCCTATTTTTAACATTTATAAGACCTTCAATGGTCTTCTCTGCAGATGGCTCTTGTTTTCCAACTCATCCTTCACTGTAGCCAGAGAAGTCCTTCATAACTGCCTGCTTGATTGTGTCACGCCTCTGCTTAAAACTTTCAGTGGCTTCGTATTGTTTGCAGTTATTATAGTCTCAGGTATCTGCAAGGAGTAAGCAGATAATGTGTGTGAGTGAAGTGGGCCAAATGTGAGACAGTGGGGAGAATAGGAGAGTGTATTCCTCTCTAAAGAAATTCATATTCAGAATTTTTTAAAACATTTGACAGTCCTGTCTGAGAATCTAATGTTGCCTATAGGTCTCCAGTTAGTGCAGCCAAGTCTAAACTGCTGAGCATGGCATATGCAGTGTTTCTTTGATATCAGGTATGTCTTTGAGATGAACAACTTGTAACTCTCAGCTGTTGCAGAGACTGATGTAACCAGTGAGTCACGTTTGTTGTTTTTTTCTAAGTCAGAATATATCAGAATAAACAGTGAGTTGGTTATTATAAGTACTACTGTCTTCCTTCATATTGGAAGCCGGGGAGCATTATGGGCTTTGGAGTCAGCCTTGACCTAGGTTCACTTGCCAATTCCGTCACGTATTTGCTGTATGATTTTGAACACAATTTCCTCCTCTAACTAAAATATAAAGAAATAAAGCCTTGCAGGATTGAGAGTGCAGTATCAGATTCTCAACCGCTTTAAATTTTCCAGCTCAGTGTTTGGCACATAGTAACTCTTCAGTAAAGGATAGCATCTAGACAGGTAGGGAAAATTTAAGAGGCAGCAGTGAATAATATAAAAATCTAATTCCCCGGCTGCATCCTTCTTAGTAATTGTACTTGTGGCCTAAAGAAGAGCAAACCAGTTGCAGGCCATTATCAGGTGAGGCAGGCAATTGGAAGTGGACAGGCACATCATTTACCCATGGAACTAAAAACCAGGAGCTTGCCACCCTCGCTGGCTATCGAGCTGAAACTGGAATTTAAGACTAGAAGTTCAATTTTCTGTTGACAAATTCCTAACTAAGATGGGAATGTGGACTTTCTACAACTATGCATAATGTCCTAAGCTCTTTTTCACTTTTTTTGTCTACATATAATCTTTAAATTTTTTTTAGTGAAAGTTATATTAGCTAAAAATTTACTTCAATAGCATGAGGATATTTTATTTTGGTTTGTTCTCTACAGCTGTATAAATTTGAAGCACCAAAGGAAGTTTTCTTTATCAGAACATTTTTTGTTGTTGTTAATCTTTACCCAAGGATATTTTTCCATTGATTTTTTTTTTTTTTTTAGAGTGAATGGAAGGGAGGGGAAGAGACAGAGAAAGGGGAAACATCAACATATGAGAGATACATGGATTGGTTGCCTCCTGTAAGTGGTTGGGTATTAAGCCTGCAACCAAGTTACATACCCTTGACCCGAATCAAACTCGCGACTCTTCAGTCTGCAGGCCAACGCTCTAACCATTGAGCAACCTGGCTAGGGCTATCAGAACATTTAGCATGGTGAGGAAAGAGGGCTGTTGTATTTACATATTATTCTAATGCAACAGTACATTATGTTTTCATTGATCTAGGAACAATAAGAAAGTCTTCAAGAGCTTTCATCATTCACTTAAGGGAAAGAAAATATACCATATTTTCAGGATCTAAAGTTTAGCATAAATTTAACATTTAAGTATATTTTACTCCGTAATTTGTATACCCAGCTGACATGGTTGAAATAGGGGGCTGAACAGCTAACAGTATACAGTATTTTTCTGCCTTACCACAGAGCTATCGTGATAATGAGTAAAGTGGTACAGATAATAACCTGTTGGCATAATGACATCCACTGAACTTCTCCTTGTACTTAAAATGGAGAGGCTAGAAAGCAAGACAAAGAGCGTTTCAACTTCTTTGCAGCAGTATGTCTCACTCCAGACAGACGTTCATGCCCAGGCAAATGATACTATATTTAAGTAACAGAGCAACAACATTAGTATTACACAGCTAAGAGGATTGTGTCTAAGAAAGCAAAGTAGACGTATTTAAGAGAATATTGAAACACAAAGATAGACAAGTGCTGTCTTTACTGGCTATGCTAAAATTCTCTTTTGGTTTTAAGGAGTATCACAAAAAGGTTGATCTAGATAAATACGTTGGTATTCTATGACTTGATATTATTTTTTAGTGTTCATCTGTTTTTCTTAAAGGACTGATTTTTTTTTTGTCAATGCCATCTAAAATATTTTTCTTTTTCCTCCCTCTCTCTCTTCTTCCTTTCTATCCTTCCTTTCTTCCTTTCTACTTGCAGCTCCTCAGAGAAATTTTGAAATTGCCTTCAAGATGTTCGACTTGAATGGAGATGGAGAAGTAGACATGGAGGAGTTTGAACAGGCAAGTTGTCCTGGAAAGTTCCTTTAAATACATTCATATTTAACCCAGTTACATGTTATTTGGAGTTACCTTGGCCTTGGTCAGTAGATTCAGATGCTACCCAATTTTTGAAGTACCTAATGTATCATTTTTCAAAACTACTAACTTTTAACATGTGGGTTTTCTTGTTTTAACTCTAAACATAAGGAATTATTTGAGTATACGATTAAGGTCAAGATTGCTCTGATTTCCCAATATGAATTAAACTATAATGCTGAGAGGCTAAGTTATGGATATTCAATCATATATTCAGGCCACATTTATCAACAGCTACTCTTTGCTAGACAGTTTCAGAATACAAGGATGAATGGCAAGTAAGAAATGCACAGAGACAAATATTTTAAAATACCTAGAGACATTTATTCAAATTTGCACCCTGTGTCCATCATACATTTTAAAAAATATGTTTTTATTGATTTTTTAGAGAGAGAGAGAGGAAGGGAGAAGGATAGAGAGATAGAAACATCAATGAGAGAGAAACATAGGTTAGCTGCCTCCTGCATACCCCCTTCTGGATCGAGCCCCCAGGCATGTGCTCTGACTAGAAATCGAACCTGTGACCTCTTGGTTCATGGGTCAGTGCTCAACCACTGAGCCACACCAGTGGGGCCATCCTACACTCTTAAATATACAGTCTACTTAGAATTCATATTTTACTATGTCACATAAAATGTGGGAACTGCAACCACATACCATTTACCCCTTCTCCATTCTTTCTGCCATACTTGTCCTATGTATTATATCTGCATCAAATAGTCCTCCCTTATCCAAGGGAGAAATGTTCCAAGACCCCCAGTGGATGCCTGCTACTTTGGATAGTACCAAACTCTATACATATTGAGATTTTTCCTAAACATGCATACACCTTGTGGCTTCTCTTTGGCATATCCAAATTGTCCACACCACGCTCTTGTGCTTTGGGGCTATTAAGTAAAATAAGGACTACTTGAACACAGGCATTGTGATATCATGACAATAGATCTGATAACTGAGATGGCTACTAAGTGACTAATAGGTAGGTATCAGATAGAGCATAGATATGCTGGACAAAGGGATGGTTCACATCCCAAGTGGGATGAAGCAGGACGGCCAGAGATTTCATCACACTACCCAGAATGGCATGCAATTTAAAACTTATGAATTGTGCCCTAGCTGGTTTGGCTCAGTGGATAGAGCATCGGCCTGCGGACCAAAGGGCCCCAGGTTCAATTCCAGTCAAGGGCACATGCCTGGGTTGCGGGCTCGGTCCCCAGTGGGGGGCATACAAGAGGCAGCCAATCAATGATTCTCTCTCATTGTTGATGTTTCTATCTCTCTCTCCCTTCCTCTCTGAAAGCAATAAAAAATATATTTAAAAAAAAACTTATGAATTGCTTATTTCTGGATATTTTTCACTTAATCTCTCTCTCTCTCTCTCTCTCTCTCTCTCACACACACACACACACAAATCTAGTGATATGTAATTTTCAGTAAAGTTTTTAATGAAAGAATACTTACAGTTATTAATAGTTTACACGTAAGTGTGACAGTATTTGGACTATGTTATTGTTAATAGTTAATGAAGATGCTATAGCATTAGTTAATTTTCCCTAAACACATTTTTTTCCCAGTCACTTATACAAATACTCTCAGCACCACACTTTTGAAGCTAACATACAGCTTCCACAACAGCAGGGCTATAAGCTATAATATTTATAGCCACAAACAAAATTTAAATCATGGTAGGTTCTAACACTGCTTCAATACTGGTTCACTGCTATTGGAAAATTCTTTAGTTCTCACTTAGATAAAATGAATTATGTATTGCCTTCAAATAGAAGAAGCACTTTTCTGATTATCCTGTATTTCAATTTAAAGTCTAAAAAACTATGCCCAGCCAGTGTTGCTCAGTGGTTGAGCGTCAACCCATCCACCGAGGTCACTGGTTCAATTCCTGGTCAGGGCACATGTCCCAGTTGTGGGCTCGATCCCCAGTCAGGGGTGCACAGGAGGCAGCCAGTCAGTATCTCACTCTCAACATTGATGTTTCTCTTTCCCTTCCTCTCTTTGTAAAGTCAATAAAAAACATATTTAAAAAAATAAGGAGAAAGTCTAAAAAACATCAACTTAAATAATTTTAAAATCTATTACATACCTGGCTTTTAAGTCTCCATGTGCCTGAGAAACAAATGTCAACCAATCTGGGCCCTGGCCGGGTAGCTCAGTTGGTTAGAGTGTCATTCCAATACAACAAGGTTGTGGGCTTAATCCCCAGTGAGGGCACATACGAGAATCAGCCAATGAATGCATAAATAAGTGGAACAACAAATTGTTGTTTCTCTATCTATTTCTCCCTTCCTCTCCATCTAAAATCAGTCAATGAATAAAAATGCCAACCAATCTTATTTACATAAATAAAATATGAACCCAGAAAAAATCGTAATCAAAACCATTTATGATATTAACCTAGAGTTAGAAGACAGCGATAATGTGCTCTGCGAACAATGAGAAAAATAAGGCTTAAAGAGGTTAAATGATTTGCACAAATTCTACTCTCACTACAGAGTAACAGAATCAGACCCCGTGTCTCCTGACTAGTCTTTCCATTATACTCTTCCACCCTTTATAGAGCCTGAGACTTTTAAGTTGTCTTAAATAAATATTTTTATGGTCATAGATAACAAGTGAAATAAAAAACATTTAACTAAGGTAAAATTTGTTGTTACAAATCTTAAGTTTAAGTATTACGCTTTTCTAATTTGGCTATTTAAATGTCAAGGCTATATATATTGTTTATTTCTGTAACATACCTTTATTATTTACCCTTATGTATCGAATTTTAGTTATTCTGAATAGCTGTGTTTTTTAACTTGTAGAAAAAACTGCAGGAACTAGTGGGGGGAAAAAAGCTATAGCAATTACTGACTTGCCTCAAAACTCTTTATATGTATCATTAAGCCATAGTTGTAGTCCCAAAAGTTATCCTTTCTCAAAAAGCGCTTTTAAAACTTCTCAGAGATTGAACTAATTCCCCATGTTTTCTTGGAGAGTTATTTCATACCAATTTTGCATTTTCATATATCATTCTAATAAATGTTATCTCTCTTAGACGTTAAGTATTTATTTGCCTATAATTGTGCTGTCACTCTTCACAACTAGAGAATCAGTAGTGAAAATTGTGGAATTTTTTAAATTATCCTGAGAAAAGGAAAGTATTGCTGTGAGGTTAATGATTAGTTATTGTGAGAGAGGTTTTGAGCCTCAAAACAAATATATATTCTTTTCTGAAGAGAGATTTTAAGGTGGGTCCCAATTATAAAAGTATCGGGCATCTGTGTTAGAATCCTGGTGCTGCTACTTGACTTTGAGCAAATTGTTTAACTCTATGTGCCCCAAATTTCTCATCTGTGAAATAAGGATAATCATAGGGCTTCTCTCATAGGATTGTTGTGAGCATGGGGTGGAGAGCTAGTGTGGGCTAGAAGAGGTCATTGGGGGCGGGGGCCGGGGGGAGACATCTATAATACTTTCAACAATAAAGATTTTTTTAAGTAAAGTAAAATGAAAGAAAGAATTGTACCATAGTGAAGGCAAAGACTAAACAATCAATAGGCAGTTATTTTCCCTACTTTTCTCTAATTTTTCACTTTGTAATGTTTTTCTGGATGGGGGTTTGCTTCTCTTTAGGTTCAGAGCATCATTCGCTCCCAAACCAGTATGGGTATGCGTCACAGAGATCGTCCTACTACTGGTAACACCCTCAAGTCTGGCTTGTGTTCAGCCCTCACAACCTACTTTTTTGGAGCTGATCTCAAAGGGAAGCTGACAATCAAAAACTTCCTCGAATTTCAGCGTAAACTTCAGCATGATGTTTTGAAGCTAGAGGTAGGTATTTCCTGGACTTTAGGGGACCGGGCACTGTCCATCCCATGTACACAGAGAGCCGCTGGGGTGGGAGGGCCTGCATTATTGGCATTCCTTCCGTCTATCTCCAGTTTGGAGAACTGATTGCTTTGAACTGTATCAGTGATTTACTGTCTGACAGCAGGTTGGAAATCATGTGGTCTGTGAAATGTCTTGGAGTCAGGTGGTTCTGGGCCTAAAAGCAAAAGTGTCTAAATTGAAAATCTCAGTTGTCTTTGGATACTCAGCTTGAGGAAAAAGAAATGCAGTGGTCAGAGCTGCTCTCAACCTGAGCATGTATCCCCACTTTATATCATTGTGTAGAAGGCAACAGGTAGTGGAGACGAGGGAGGATCCCACTTAACTCAGTTGAGACAGTTTGAAAAATCACAACTGAATTCCCATTATTAATACATTTTAGTTTATTATTATAATTTTGTTGTTATTAATACTTAACCGAGGGTATTTTTTCCATTGATTTTTAGAAAGAGTGGAAGGGAGGGATGGAAGGAGGGAGAGAAACATCAATGTGAGAGAGACACATTGATTGGTTGCCTCCCCACACTCTAACCACTGAGCAATGCCAACTAGGGCATTAATAATACATGTTTTAAAAATACACTTTAAAAAAAAAGAACACTCTTAAATATTCATACTGTAGAAGAGAAGCAGAAGTAGAATAATACTTCTAAAAATCAGATCAAACTTTGAAATGTGCCTGTGTACATGTTTTCTGAAAATGGTGTAATTGATATTCAAAGAATGTACCTCAAAAAAAAAAAATACCCTTTGCACGTTCATCTTGCCTGTGCCGCTGGGGAGCCAAACGATTGGGGGTTGCTGCCGCAGAAACCCGCAGAAGCGTCAGTTTCAAACTGGAAGAGAAAACTGCCCACAGCAGCCTGGCACTCTTCAAAGATGACACAGGTGTCAAATATGGCATGATGGGATTGGAGCCCACCTAATTGGCCCTGAATGTGGAGCATTTCCGGGAATGGGCAGTGGTGCTGGCAGACACAGTGGTCACCAGTGGCAGGCACTATTGGGAGGTAACAGTGAAGCGCTCCCAGCAATTCCGGGTAGGAGTGGCAGATGTGGACATTTCTCGGGATAGCTGCATCGGTGTTGATGACCGTTCTTGGGTGTTAACCTATGCCCAGCGCAAGTGGCAAACCATGTTGGCCAACAAGAAAGCCCCTATTAAGGGCATCGGGCATCCAGAGACGGTGGGGCTGCTGCTGGAGTATGAGGCCCAGAAGCTGAGCTTGGTGGATGTGAGCCGGGTTGCTGTGGTCCACATGCTACAGACAGATTTCCAGGGTCCAGTGGTACCTGCCTTTGCCCTTTGGGATGGAGAATTGCTGACCCATTCAGGGCTTGAGGTGCCTAAAGGCCTCTAGTACGTCCATCACTGGCGTTCCCAATAACACTCTTGGCCAGCCTCCTGAAAGTGCCTGGAACCTTTTAACTTTGCCCCAAGCAACCTCTAGCTCCCACAATTCAGGTCCTCTGTGCAGTATCTTAGTCATTTTCCTCTCCCCTACCTGTGAAAGCTAGGCTACTGCCAATTTTCATAGGCAACCATGAATGTATTTTCCTTGACTTGCTTCCTTGGGTCCCTATATTCAGTCCTGGAGTCTTACCTTTCAGCTTTGCTTGGATTTATCATCACTATGATACCTTTCTCTCCTTTTGCCCATGTGTAACCTCTGTTTGTTCTTGGTGCTCTAGTGAGTCTCTCCACAGTAAATCTTTTCTACCTCTGGCTGGAGGAGTGGTTCAGTGACTTGGCCCTTTCTCTAAAGCTCATACAGAGTCTGGGCTCTGGCTCCCTCTGGAAGTGCTTTACTGACTGTCAGAGTGAGAACAGAGCCCTCCTTCCTCAGTACCTCAAAGCTGGACTCTCAGCCCCACACAACTGCAGCTATCCCCACCATGAGTCCATCTGCCTTAATCTGCATACCTCTGACACCTGGTCAATCCCTAGTAATCATCGGGCCAGTTACAACCACTTTCAAAGGGAAAGAGACACTTGGGGGATATCAAGGGCATTCATGCTGGAAACTTTATTCTTGAGAAGTTCTAGCTTCATTTCTGCTACAGTTGGAACTTCCAGAGGGAGGAGAGAGACTGAGGTCTTGCACAGTACGTTTTTGGGCCTGCTCAGATCCAAACCCTCACCCTCCCACCCCAACCTTGGCAGTAGAATACACTTAACCTAAAGCAGTATTAGGAGTTGAGGAAAACCTGGTGGGATGAGCATGTATGTGAAATATGTATTTCTCTGTTTGACCCTGTGGCTCCATCTTATTCTATCTTTATGATGGTGATGCAACTGAATGCCTCTCAGGGAGAAAGAGGACTGGGTTTAGCAAAAATAATTATTTGTGTAATTAAAGTTTATTTGAGCACACACACACAAAAAGTAATGGATTTCTACAATTCAGCCTCCTTGAGCACCTATAATAAGTGATATACATATATACAAAAATCAGATTTTACGTATGCATGAGAACCCCCACATGATAATGAAAGACCCAGAGAAGTAGCGAGGCCTAAGTGTTTATATGCTGGGTTAAACAAAGAAGGGCGACCTGCCTTTATGAAGTTTGCATTCTTATCACCAGAGAAAGTGAGTCTAAGTTGAGAGAAATCTGTACAACGGACCTTGTTAAAATAATTCTTACCGTCCTTTAGTCTCCCCATATATGTTAGCTATTTTTCTACAGTTGCTATTCTTTGTTTCTTTCCTGCTGGTAGAGGGAGGACATCTTTCACACAGGAATTTTACTCCTGCTTTCAATTTTGAGTTGTTATGAGGCTCAAAACCTCTCTTACGATGAATAATCACCAACCTCACAGTAATACCTTTAATATCTCAGGATAATTTTTAAATTTTCACTACTGATTCTCTAGTTGTGATAAGAGATAACACAGTATAGGGAGAGTTGGTATGTATTAGAATTCTAGACATATGCCTTGGCCCCTGGTGTACCTACCTGGAGTGGTCTTCTTTGGAAACGTTATAATCTGGGAATGTAAATTATTTAACTTATTGATTATGTAATTACAATTTAACACAGAGTATAGATCCATAAAATGTAGTTAGAGAATAAAACACAAACTAGAATAGTACTTTAAACAACAATTCAGGGTCATTCAGAGCATGGAACCGGTGCCACAATCTAGCCTAACATTCATTCCTAGATATACAAGTGGGAGTCTCAAGAGACAGAGCCTGAGGCTTTTGTCTTTCACCCTGAGATGCTATCCAGATGAAAGCCCACTGTAGGTTGTATAGATTGCCAATTTGGTAGAATATTATAAAGCAGATCCAGGATTTCACACATATGTACCTACACATAGCCTACACCTAAATGCAGAAGAAAAGAGATTTACTAAACAGCCATATCTAAAATACTTATTCTAGAAAGCTATTGGCTTAGCATCATCTGTAGGCTTTGGGCCAAGATGTACTGGGACTGTTATTGTTTGCCAGTCAGCAATTCCTCATGTTAGGGAGTCAATTGACTCTTTTGTGAAAGAACACAGCCTAACATGTAATAAATATTCTATAAATGTTTATTAATCCTGAATTTGTTCCATAATAGCACAAGTCCAGTGAATAAGTGGCTCCTTATCAATAAAACCTATTATGTCTTCCCAACTAGATTTGTAATTTTTTGAGAAAGTGTGAATAGCAAAAAGAGCATAGATTTTGATGTTCTCATAGTGAGACCTTGATTAAAATTTTATTTCCACCACTTACTGGCTATGTGACATTTGATGAGTTATTTATTCTCTTAGAGCCTAGCTCCTCAGGACAATGTTTAAGTGAGATGATGTTTCTTACTGGCTGGATTATGTTCCCCCAGAATTCCTATGTTGAAACCCTTAACTCCCGGTACCTCAGAATGTGACTATACTTGGAGACAGACCTTTAAAGAAGTGGTTAAGTTAAAATGAGGCCTTTAGAGTAGGCCCTAATCCAATCCTACTGGTGTCCTTATAAGAAGAGAAAATTTGGACTCACACAGGGAGACACCGGGGGTGAGCATGCACAGAGGGAGAACTATGTGAGGAGACAGCAAGAGGGCAGCCAACTGCAAGCCAAGAAGAGAGGCCTCAGAGGAACCAACCCTGCTGGCACCTTAGACTTCCAGCCGCCAGAACTGTGAAAAAACAAATTGCTGTTAAGTCACCCATTTGGTGGTAGGCAGCTCTAGCAAACTAATATACCACCAGGCATATACTATGCCTTTAATAAGTATTCATTCACCTTTTCTTGTATACCCTCTGCCATTTAGTGTGGTAGTTGGCATATAGTGGGCACTTAAACAGGTCTTTTCAGGTAAATGACCAAAAGGCCTTACTTTCATTTTGAAAATAGTTTTCTCATAAGACATCTGGAAAATGGAGCAATTTTTGTTTTTATGAAACACTTTTAATTTTACTTTTCAAAGTTTAGGTAATTTCCCCCCTCATTAAATGTGAATTATGTTATCATCACAGCCAAAAGGAAATTAGAAATGATTACTATTAGCTTTCATATGGGTTTTATAATTTCATCATTCTTTCTATTTCTTATTGGTTTTATTTCTTTACTTACCTACTTTAAAATTTTAAATCAAGGAGATTTATAGTTTCATTTAGTTATTTTTTTTTCTCACCACAGTAGCTTTGAGAGTGAAAAGAATACCATTTATCTGTCAAATTTAATTTCCAGATGAGTCAGGAAAGAGGGAAATGTCCATGAACATATTTATTGAATGCCTACTACGAGCCAGGCAATTTACATATATTATATTCCTTCTTTGTTTTAATTCCAGCCGTTGGTTTTATACCCATGTCACAGCTGTAGAAACTGAAACTCAGAAAGATAAAGTCACAGAGCTATTAAATGGTTGAGTCAGGATTCCAACTTCAGTCTTTCAGAATGAATTATTTTCTATTCTTTATCTAATTACTAGTGACCCAGTGCA